AATACCCAAACAATAATCCAAAACATGTCCAAAAATAGTCTGGGGACTATTTTTCGAACATTTTCTGTCCCTTTTCTGATATTTTGAAGGTATTTTTATTTTTCGTCGAAAATCCCCCTGTAGGGGGACACGCCCGACATAAACCAAGGGCCCCTCGGGCGAGGGGCCACTCTTGCGTGCAGCCGGCCTCAGGGAGCCGACGCTCGCCTCTGGGATGTCGGCGCCCGCGTCCTGGCGCGAGAAGTCCACCCAGCCCGAGCTGCCCACCTGCAGCGAGAAGTTCGTCCTCGTGGCGTTCCCCGCCTGGTTGGACCCGCCGGCGTTGCGCGTGTGCGGGCGGACTCGCAGGACCTGGCCGCCGAGCAGCGAGCCGCGTAGGGCGACCGCCTTGACGTAGAGCCCGCACTCCCGCGTACCGTCGGTCTCCATGCTGGCGCTCAGCGCGAGGATCTCGGGCTCCTCTTCGTTGTAAGGCACACGGAGTAGGATGCACTCGGGCGACGGCATGCGGATGTCGAAGCTCTCACCGTTCAGATTGGTCACGTGCGGGTCGCCCACCACAGACGCAGTGTCTCGAACAGTAGTGGTGGTATCACCTGTCTGCACGGATGGTGCGATCGTAGTACTTGTCGTGGTCGTAGTGGTCGTAGTGGTAGTAGTGGTAGTAGTGGTAGTGGTGATCCGCCACCGCGCTTGCAGCTGTTGATTTGTGTTGGGCCCATAGTTTTTCATTGGTTCCGCACCTGGTGAGCAGGCCCCCCTGACGCATCGAACCAGTCATGCTCTAAGTGTTGTTGACGGAGTCCCACAGCACTCTCTTATCCCTTCCATGAGAAACAGCGGCCTCAAAACTAAAGACTCTGGGTGCATCCCTCGGCGCCCCCCCCCTCCCCCAGGCGCCTGACAGATCGCGGCGGCGGATTCGCGCGGCAGCACCACTGGACTGCAGTGGTGGTAGTAGTACAGACGGCGTCATTAGTTGCAGTAGTGACAGTGATGCTCGAGTGCACGGGGTACTCGCATTGCGTGCCTCCGCTCAACGCGATCGTGCCCGCGCCCAAGTCCAGCGCCGAAATGGTCACCACCTCCTGTTGGCTCCCGCTCTGGAGCAAGAGTAAGGCGCCCGCGCCGACGCCCTCCACGAACATCAGATTAATGATCGACCCCGGGCCCACGGTCAGGGACGTGGCCCCCGCCGGAGTGGCGGAGAGCAGCTCCATGGGCGGCAGCTCGGCGATTGGCGTGTCCTCCCCGCCCTCACCTGCCAGCGGCGCGCCCTCGGACGGGCCCGGGGCGCCTCCGGGAAGGGCGCCTCCTCGCGGCGGCACGCAGCAGCGGCCCCCCGGGCAAGAGCGGCCCTTGCTGCGCGGCTCGCCGATCGCCGCGTGCGGTGCGACGGCCGCGGCCCGCGTGCCGGGGCTTGGCCCCCCCGCGCCCCCCGGAAGGCCGCGCAACAATCGGCTATACGTAGGAGTGGCCCTGGGTAAGAGTGACCTTTGGTGCGCGGCTTTCTGGGGGCCGCGTGGGGACCAAGCCTGGGCGCGCAAGCCGCTGCTCCTGCTCCGTTTTCAGCCCTCTGGGGACCCATCTGTGCCCGCACTAAAGGTCACTCCGGCGAAAGGTCACTCTTACGTCTAGTCGGAACAAGGGTCTCTCTGGCGAAGGGGTCACACTTCTGCGTAGCCGGTCCTCCCCATCGGCCTCTCACGCCCCGGGCGAGTCCCACTGCGGAAGCCTGCTGCAGCAGGCACGCTGCAGCGAGCGGTAACCAGCGCATGCCTGTCCACAGAGAGCCGGCGTACCTTCTGCGGTGGCTATTAATAGTATGTGAGCGCATCAGAGTGCATTAAGATGTACAGAGAAGGCAAGTGTGAATGTACCAGAATTCCGCCGAAGAGGCTTGAGCCCAAATGGCAGTGTACGAGGGGCACTCTTGATGCCACCCTGGGCCGAAGGTGGCAGCAACACGATGTCCCGATTGCCTCGGATGCACAAGGCTCACGTAGGGCATGTCCCCCATAGAGGCGGATTTTGAGTGACAAATGACACATGCCCCAAACATGCAAAAATAAAAAACGCCCCAAATCCGCCGATCTGGCGTTTGAGCTACAAGAAGCCTCAGCAAGAGCTTCAGCTCTGAGCCTAAGCAAGATCTTCAGCTCTGCTTAGGGGGGAGTCGACGGGGTGGCTCTGCCGGGGATCGGGGGGAAAGGGGGGGGGCCTCCATCTAGCGTTTTCTTTACGATTGGCGCATCCCCCAGATGTTTGGGAATGTCCCAGGGTCGCTAGGGTGGCTCTGCCGGGGAAGCAGAGGAGGGGGGGAGGGGGGGGGCTCCATCTGGCGACTTCTGAATGATTTGCGCATCCCCCAAATGTTTCGGGAAGTTCCACGGTCGCCGGGGTGGCTCTGCCGGGGAAGGGGAGGAGGGGAGGAGGGGGGAGGGGGGCCTCCATCTGGCGTTTTCTTCATGATTTGCGCGTCCCCCAGATGTTTCGGGGGTCCCACGGTCGCCAGGGTGGCTCTGCAGGGGAAGCGGGGAAGGGGGGGGGGGAGGTCCTCCATCTGGCGTTTAGTTTATGATTGGCGCATCCCCCAAATGTTTCGGGGGGTCCCAGGGTCGCCGGGGTGGCTCTGCTGGGGAAGCGGGGGACTGGGGGGGTTCTCCATCTGGCGTTTTCTTTCAATGATTGGCGCGTCCCCCAAATGTTTCGGGATGTCCCATCGCCGGCGGGGTGTCTGCCAGGGAAGCGGGGGAGGGGGGGTGTCCTCCATCTGGTATTTTCTGAAATCTTTGCGCATCCCCATGTGTTTCGGGGGGTCCCAGGGTTCGCTGGGGTAGCTCTGCTGGGGAAGCGGGGGTGGGGGGGGATCCTCCAGCTGGCGTTTCCAACAAGATCTGCGCATCCCCCAAATGTTACGGGAGGTTCCACGGTCGCCAAGGTGGCTCTGACGGGGAAACGGGGGAAGGGTGGGGGTGGTCCTGCATGTGGCGTTTCCAACAAGGTTTGCGCATCCCCCGAATGTTTCGGGGGGTCCCACGGTCGCCTGGGTGGCTCTGCCGGGGAAGCGGGGGAGGGGAGGGGGTGTCCTGCATCTGGCGTATTCTTTATGATTAGCGCATCTCCCAGATGCTTCGAGAGGTCCCAAGGTCGCCAGGGTGGCTCTGCCGGGGACGCGGGTGGGGTGGGGGTGGGGGCGGCTGTCCCCCATCTGGCGCTTTCTTTATGATTTGCGCATCCCCCAAATATTTCGGGGGGTCCCAGGGTCGCCGAGGTGGCTCTGCCGGGGAAGAGCGGGAGGGGGAGGGGGCGGTCCTCCATCTGGCGTTTTCTTCATGATGTGCGCATCCCCCAGATGTGTCTGGGGGTCCCAGGATCGCTGGGGTGCCTCTGCCCGGGGAGGGGGGGAAGAGGGGGGGGGCGGTCCCCCATCTAGCGTTTTCTTTGTAATTTGCGCATTCCCCAGATGTTTCGGGGGGTCCAAAAAACCCCCTTCAGATCTAGCCGTTGCCGCCCACAGTTAGTCCCTTCGCAACCCTCCACGGGACCCCAAGGGGGGGCGGCCCCCCATGTGACGCTTTCTGAATGATTTGCGCATCCCCACGATGTTTCGGGGCGTCCCAGGAAACTCCCTCAGATCTGGCCCCTTCCGCCCCCAGGACCATCCCCTCGGACGGAGCCCTCTCTGGGCCCCCCCCCGGGAGAACTTCAGGCAACTCCCCAGAAAGCACGTCGGATCCCAAAGACGTCTCTGGCGACCCTGGAACCGCGGGACTCCTCTTGGCGTTTCCCGTGGTTTCCTCATCCTTCTCCTCGTCCTCCTCCACGTTCTCCCTCCTGCGCCTCCTCCTCCTCCTCCTCCTCCTCCTCCTCCTTCTCCTCCTCTCCCCTCCTCCTCCTCCTCCTCCTCCCTCCTTCCTCCTCCTCCTCCTCCTCCTCCTCCCTCTCCCCTCCTCGCACGCGTCGGGCGGAAGGACGGTCGGCGAGCGGAGGCACGGCCGGCGCCACCGCCGCCGCCGCTGCCGCCGCCGCCGCCGCCGCCGCCGCCGTCGTCGTCGTCGTCGTCGTCGTCGTCGTCGTCGTCGTCGTCGTCGTCGTCGTCGTCGTCGTCCTCGTCGTCGTCGTCGTCGTCCTCCTCCACCTCCTCTTCTCCTCCGCCGTCGTCGTCGTCCTCGTCCTCGTCGTCGTCGTCGTCGTCGTCGTCGTCGTCGTCGTTGTCGTCGCCGTCGACGTCCTCGTCGTCGTCGTCGTCGTCGTCCTTCTCCTCCTCCTCTTTTCCTCCGTTCCCTCTCCCGCCCCCCAACCCCCCCCCTCGGAACCCTCTCCGGACCACCCTCGGGGACAGCTCCAGGCACCTCCCCAGAGGGCACGTCAGCTCCGAAAAGCGTCGCCAATGATCCCAGGACCGCGGGACTCCTCTCGGGTCTTTCCGTCGCTTCCTCATATTCCTCCCTGTCCTCGACCTCCTCTTCGTCCTCCCTTCTGCGCCTCCTCCTGCTCCTGCTCCTGCTCCTGCTCCTACTCCTGCTCCTGCTCCTGCTCCTGCTCCTGCTCCTGCTCCTGCTTCTGCTCCTGCTCCTGCTGCTGCTGCTGCTGCTCCTCCTCCTCCTCCTCCTCCTCCTCCTCCTCCTCTCTCCCCTCCTCGCGCGCGTCGGGCGGAGGCACGGCCGGCGAGTCGAGGCACGGCCCGCGCCACCGCCGCCGCCGCTGCCGCCGCCGCCGTCGTCGTCGTCGTCGTCGTCGTCGTCGTCGTCGTCGCCGTCGTCGCCGTCGTCGTCGTCCTCGTCGTCGAAGAAGAAGAAGAAAGAGGACCGGAATAATCGAGGAGGGAAGACGCCACAGAGTCGAACAAAAACAATAAATCCGCACCCCCCTGGATCGGCGGCTCTAGCCGGAGGCCATTACAATAGCCAAACATAATAGAGAAACTATCCCCATAAGATGTATTAATTCATTTGTTTGAGTATTCTTCCGTTGGGCAGGGATCGACCGTCCCGGCATTTCTTTTGGCCTACCAAGAAGCGTTCTTTGAACCTAGAAATGACCCAATCACAAAAACAATGCGTTTAGAACGCAAGCTCAATGGGCTAAAGCAAAACAATCCCAGCCAGACATGTTCTAAGAACATTTCGTAGACTTCACAAGAAGTTTTTAGAACATTGTTTGGTAGGCCTAGATCGGCGAGCCAGGGCGCTTCGCCACTGTTTGACTCCTGTAGAGGGACGTGCCCGACTTGAGCTTTGGATGCGCAGGGCGTCTCTTGGGGCCTCCGTGGGCATCTCTTGGGCCGCTGGTGCTCCCACCTCGACCTCGGGAGTGCCATGTGCCTCGCCGGAAGCCTCTACGGCGACCTCGTGTCGTTTAGAAGCTGGGCGAAGGCTGGCACATCTTAGGTCGGGCACGTCCCCCTACAGGAGGATAGTGGGCGATAAATTTTAAATACCCGCAAACATACTAGAACAAAAAAAAAAGTCACAACATCGTCCCACAACTATTGATACATATTT